AATTAATTGAATGTATATTAGATAGTAGTTCAACATCTTAACACTCGGACCGAAAAGGCGCTTTGTATTTAAAGTCTTAATATTTATAAAAATTAAATTTTATAAAATAATGAAGATGTCTAATTATTGTTTTTTGTTACACATCCGCTTGCATAAGGGATATTGGAGAGAAAAGCGTTAAAACACGTAAGTGGTTCCATTATTTACGACTCAAGGATAACGAGCGATGGAGAAACGAAGGTTGGTGGCGGCAGAACTTACCCCCTTATATTTGTATCTCCCAGGGGCGAGCGATCTTTACGAGCTTAAGAGCTGTTTCTTATTTATAATTCACAGGGCAATCGCATCTCTTATGAAATTTCTATTACGTTCTCTGTGATAAAATCTTCGTCCGAATTTTGCAGAATATCGACTGAAAATTGCTTGGAGATGGCACACTTTGATTCGTACATTCTATACAGTGTTACAATGTTATTGTTCAGCGTTTTCAATTGAAGCAGTCTGAGTCGATGCGGGTTTCCAAAAAGATGGACTCTGATTTAGACAAAAGAAAATATATAGGTTTGTGTGTGCAGTATGAATTCCGCGCAATTTTGGGGCCAATTTCATTTCTTACTAATAAAATGTATAAAGAAAGAAAAGAATAAAATCGTAATTAAATAGGTTTATACAAACAATTAAGTATAATAATATATATCTATAAAAAAATCTAAAAAAATAAAAAAATCTTGTTTTACAAAGAACTCAATATGTAGATTTATTCGCAATAAATCCAATGACTTTAATTCGATAAGTTCGATAAAATAATATATTGTAATAAAAAATGGTTGTATCTTTTTTATTATTTTATATTTAGCTTTTGAATTCTATCGAATTTGAATGAAAATTCAATAATTTTATATTTATCCATTTACGAACTTATTCGTACTTATTCGTTATTCTTTTCACCTTTTTTTAAGCTCGTCGATTATTTTCTTGGGGTGACTCCGCCCAGGCTTTTTCATTGTAAAAACGCTGTTACAATGTTCCTCGACATATCACGCGCAATAAAGATAAAACGAAAATTGACATTCGAGTATGTTAATATAACCGAATATCGTGGTGTATCGTTAATTTCAAAATTATAATATTACATGACGATTATTACCGGTCATTCAACGACGACGATCACACGGGAAACATTTTTTAGCGGTTATAACGGTGGATCGACTTATCTTAAATCCCAGCGAGTGCCCGAAGTCAACGCTTAACAATCAGTCGTACTCATTTTGGAGTATAATACATATTAATCGATTAATCGCTTAATTCGTTATTACGTGCTCTAACTATATATACTATAGTTAAAAAGCCCCGCGCAAATCGGCCCATAAAGCTTTCACAATTACGCATTTTTATTTTTTTTTTTACAAAAGTGACTTTTTTCGGCGGTTTTTCAGAGAAGATTGTTCAATCTTCCTAATTCAAGAGTATAAAAAAAAACTTATTTAAATACTTCTTAATTGTTAGCACCTATCAATACAAGGTGTTCTTCAAGTGCGCTCAAGTCAGAAATTATTTAAAAAATTCTTAACTCTCTCCTCTCTCGCTGTGCGAATATGTTAGCTTTTATGGTAAATTAATTAAAAAAAAATTCGGATCATTTCAAATTGTTTCTCACGTGTAGCCCCATCGAGAGAACTAACATTCGAAATTCACATGCAATAATACACAGTGATACGCGATCCACATTTTACATCTACAAAGTACTCGTAATATCACGTAGAATGTAGATTAATCGCTATTGACAGAGTTACAGAGAGTCGAGCGATACGCATTTACCGAATTTTCGCCGCTCGTTAAATCGCTTCGGCACTTGACTCGCATATGCTCTTTAATTATCTCCTTTGTCATTCCGATTCCTTTCTCCGTTTAAGCGCCGAAATACCGTTACGCAAAAATTCCAACATTATGTTATTAATGCTTCACATATTCTCTCCGACAACGCGAACGTTGGCAAACATTAGGCAAGATTGCCTTTGACAATTTACTACGAACATCCAGTTATCTCATCACTCGTGCCTTGTTGGAATATATGATTTTTAGTATATATTATAAATGTATGAGTGCGGCAGCAAAAACGGTCGAGGTACCTAAAAACAATGCCGGACATTAAATCGTTTAATGTTAAGCCGACGCCGATGAGTTAATGCCGGCACCAATTAGTAATCTAGTATGACAGTAATTGCGACTAGCATTTCTGATCGCATGTTGCCGGTAGTTTCGTCCGGCGATGAGACGTACCGGACGTACCAATGCATTGATCCCCATATGCAATTGCGGATGCTATACAAAATATCGCAAATCCGCGCTTTGAAATCTATAATTTCGACGATAAATCTTCCCCAACGCTTCTCGCGAGTTATCTCGCTCCACATTGATTGACTTTATAATCAGAGAAATTTCATTTATGTCTGAAAATTGAAATTGATTTATCCGTTCACCGTTCTAAACATCAGCCAAGAATTCATATCGTATCGTGCTATTTGATTTTTTTTTCCACGGATATCATAACGAATCTTAGCTATATTTGCCAACAATTATTTCAACAGTTATCACAGAAACAAAAGTTATGTAAAAAAAAAATATATAAGTAAAACTAAAAATTCATGCAAAGAAAACGCTTTCCGTACAGCCATATGCATTTCTAACTCAATCGAGTAATTTTAAATGCAAATGGCGAGCTATTCTTGAGCCGAGAAAAAAACTTTCATTCGTACTTTTGTATTTTCTCAGACTAGAGATCGCTATTTATCGTACTATGTTCATGATAGAAAAGCACGACAAATCGCGAGTTACACGCATAAACTCGACTATGCAAATGGAATACAAAGCAACTAGCGTGAATAAACACGAATAGACATGAAGATAATAAGTACGACGTAGCGTAAGAAGAAAATGTGTGTGTGTATGTGTGTGTGTGTGTGTGTGTGTGTATACAGCATTATAAAAATAAACATTGCGTGCACCTTTTCAGTGCGCGGGGCCTCGAATTGATAAGGTACATACATGCTGCTTGATCTATTCTCCTTATACAAGACAACATCTCAATGACGGCAATCAATAGTTACCAGCAATACTGCGGTTCTGCTTTCTTCGCTGTCCTAAGTGAGAAAGCTAATGATGGATAGAGATAGAGATAGAGAAAGGAAGAGAGCGAGAGAGAGAGAGAGAGAGAGAGGAGTGGGGTGGGGGAAGTATACACATATGCCCTAAATCGATAATCGAAATTTACTAATAAGATACCGTGTATCAATTGTAAACTGTATGCACGTAATGCACGTAAGCATGTAAATTAATTTAAATATTGTCGCCAGGTCGCGGAAATTGAAACGGTATTACTTCAACGATAATTTAGTTTGGCCGTGCTGCTCATGGCAAAATGCACTTCGTACCGCACATTGTCGCGTTTCTCGTTTGCCGCGCATAAATGTGAAAATTATTCGGCTGTATCGATAATTAAAATTATCAAGATGTTACACTGTAAACTGGTTCTTATAGAGATCGAGAGACACACTAGTATTGAAACTGTCTAAAGCCAGGAATACAAAAATCAATAGCCTGATGGGAAATAAAGGCCTGTATTTATAGTCGATTCTTATTTCAAAACCGATTGGAATACTAGTGTGACGGCCGAACTTTAATGAAATTGTCGTTTTACTGATTAAATACGACTTACACACATACGATTTACGAGACATGGACACATAATTTGATGCTCAACCTAGCATTTTATTAGAAAGATGTTAATGAGCTGAAAAAGGTTTTGAATTTGCAACAAGTTTCCCATTTAAAATTATATCGGGATATATTGTAAAAAGAATACATTATGTAAGAGTTATATCATCCCAATTCGAATTCAGCATTAGTCGTTGTACCTTACGAGCTTCTTGACATTTTATTCCCGCTGATATAGATAACAAACATTTTATTCGCGTTATTTCTTTCTCCACGTCTCGGCGAAAGGACACTAACGTTAAGGGATTAAGATCAGCGTGCGATTGAACAAGCATTGCAATGTGTAACGTCGGTCGGAGTAAAATCCTCGTATTTGCATTTTTAAATAAGCAAAGCGGAGTAATATGAGACGTAAAATGTGAAAGCTAAGTTTTAAAGTTTTAAAGATTCACTGTATAATCTTTATAAACATAATAATATACAAAACACACTTCGCATACGCATATCTGGAGCATGCAATATTTCAAATGCGTGCATCTGACATAAATATTTAAAAATACAAAATAATATCCTTTATTTTACACCGCATCAAATTGCTCAGAGCAATTTGTACTTTGGTCCATATTTTCAACAGCTTCCTGCGTTTGAAATATATTTTTACGCAATATTTTGATTTGTTCTGCCAATGCTCGCGATAAATATTTTTTTCCAAAATGGCGTTGCATTACTTGTGTTTTTTTTTCCAACGCAAAAAAAAATGTATCATTGGAAAAAGAAAACACATATTGAAATGGCATTGTGCAACGCATGATAAACGGCTCGCTAATAATTCGATTGAAGTGAATCTTCACATTGCAGATTGGAAAAAGAAAAGCTTTTGGCATTTATAACTGTATATAATTGCATAGTAGAATAGTTACGATTAAGATCTCCATTTTGATATAGTTATTACTGTTATAATGTTAATATAGTAATTATATTTTTTATTCTACATACTTAAAAGAATATATTGCTCATTTTTTTAAATTGCTTCTAAGAAACGAAAATAAAAAACATAGAAAGAGAAAGTGTGTTCTGGTAACGTACTTTTATTATTCTATAATTAATAAATATTACATCAAAATTGCATTGTAATGAATATTACAAAATTTTAATGATTCAAAATATCATTTTCTTTATCAAAACTTTATTTCTTTGAGTTGTGTCATTGTTTCAAATTAGTATAATGATTGTCCCCGAAAACTACTATAAAATTATAATCGTTTTTTTTAGAACAACCATCTCACTCTAAAAAATATCAATGTGGATTTAACACCATAAGTGTATCTATATAATTTTGTGTTGATGTTAATATTAACATCAGAAATTACAAATCCGCACCATGTTGGAGAGAATTGCATCAACATAGTGAAAATTACACAGACACCACATGGTGTTAAATTCACACTGCCCTATTTAGAGTTCATACATTCTTTTTGGTATATAGAATATATATATATATATATATATATATATATAGAATATATATTAGAAATAAAATTATTGTAGCATAAACGATAAAAATAGAAATAGAATTTCTAATCATAATTATTTTTATCATCCAGTTAATCACAAATACCAAACTTTTCCCTCAGTGCGAGACGTTGCGGTTATGATATAACGCAATTTATAGCATATAATATATGTATGTATGTATGATTACGAGCTGAAAAGATTCATTATCGAAATAAAACTAGCCTGACTATAGCTACGAAAAAACGACGTACTGGAAAACCGACGTATTAGTGCGTTTGATGATACGAAAGCATCGATCGCTACTTGATTTCGCGTTCCGATGTCGCGAACAATGGACCGCCGGCTGCGCCGATAGAAAACGAATATAAGCGTACTATCGATTCCTTCGTACCACGACGATTCTTAAGGAGGATCCGAGGGCGATATTACGAGCAGTAATATATTACGCTATTATGAA